AGGAAAAAAAAAACAAAAAAAAAACCCACCATAATTTGAAGACAGAGCAAGCATTACCACCAGACATTGGCAGAGATATTGGAACGATCAGGTCCAGAATTTAAAACCACTGTGATTAATAGGCTAAGGGCGCTGGTGGATAACATAAACAGTATGCAAGAACAGATGGGCAATGTAAGCAGAGAGATAAAATTCCTACAAAAGAACTGAAAAGAAGTGCTAGAGATTTAAAAAAAAAAAAGGGTAACAGAAATGAAAAATGCCTTTGATGGGCTAACTAGTAGGTTGAATATAGCTGAGGAAAGAATATCTGAGCTAAAGGATCAATAGACTCCTTGAAAACCAAAAAGCAAAGAAAACAAAGGCTGAAAATAAATAGAAATAATGCAACTTTAAAAACAAAGAGAAGGGAGAACATAAGAGGAAAGTAGAATATATTTATTGATTGATTTTGAGATAACTGAAAATTAAAGAATATCAGTAAAAGCCAGCAACTTTATGTGAATCAGGAATTATTTCAAAATAAAAAAGGTTTCAAATCATATTTTGAACATGTTTATGGAGCTTTTCATTTATGGGGCTCCCACTGTGTTTCTTTCTATCACCTGTGTTGAGCTGGCTGTTAAGTCAGCTCAAATGAGATATACGTTTGACGTAGTTTCTTCCTCTGAATTTTTAATGTAAAGAAATAATTCGCAGAAACATTCTAGGAGAATACATGAGAACCTATGAAAAGGAAATAAATGAACAAATAACTAACTGATATCAGGATGGTATCTTCCCTCACTTATGTATTCCCAGGTCAAAGAATATTGTTGGACAGAAAGAAGGCACTTGTGTTTGTTCATTTGTTTAGTTATTGAACTGAATTTTGCTCAGGAAAAATATAATTTTATTTGTCTGTGTATTTATAACACTTAGGAAACCATAAAAGCAGCATTTGAATCTGCCCAATTATATGCAGCTACATTTGAAAAGTTCCAGATATTCTTCAAGGAGAATGAAAGTCTTGATTTACAAGCTCTTAGACTTCAGGAGCCTGGTACATTTTAAAATTTTCCTCACTAATTATTATGACTATCATTCATATTCTTTTTTATTTCATGAACTGTTTTTATTGCCTTATTGTCTCGTACACAAAAATGATTACTTTGATATTTGTCACATGAACCAATTTTTTTGATAAATTGTTGTGGTTTTCTTCAACCTATTATTTTTATTGTGCTCAAGTATGTTACAGTAAATTAGACATTCTGTCTCTAAATTAAATGCTTCAACGTGCATCTCTAAAAAACATGTTCCCACAGAACCAAAATAATATCACACCTAAAAACATCACAATCCTTTAATATCAACATTTAGTCTATATTCAGAAACCCCCAAATAAAGCAGTTTGCAGCTGGTTTGACTCAGAATCCAGTTCAAGAGCAGGCTTTGCATTCAGTTGTCAAGTCCCTGAGACTTAATGTGTGTAGACCTGAAGTGAACTGACAGAACACGATGCCTTGCAAACTATAGTATGGCACCATGGTGGCGGTAAGGTATGGAGCCTGGTGTTTTAGCACACAAAGGAGGCTGAACCCAAAGAACCAAGTCTCATCACTTAGGTCTGCTTTTTACTCATAGCCTTAAGCCCAAGGCCTCCTGTCTCCTGCTACCACATTCCTCACGCTGGATAACTTGAATCGCTAACCAAGTTCCCATCAGGATGAGGTCACCAGACTCCCACATTGTCCAGAATCTAGTCCTGCCTTGGTTTGTCAATCCTGTCCCAATCCTGGAATCAGAGTCTCACTGGTGTTAACTCTTTGTTGGCTGGGGCTTTGGAGTGCATTGGCCCGGACTCATACTGCTGTGCTTTTCCTCGCTCTTAGAACTCCCCGATACTTCCTAAACCTCCAAATCTAGCTGTTTGCCAGAGGTTAATAGAAGATAGCTTTGCCCTCTGGATACCATGCCTTGCCTGTTTTCATATTCCCTCAAACTACTATAACATTGCCAAGCACCTATCACAGATGATCAATATATGTTTAACTGAACTCTGAGCCAAAGTGTCCCCTGGCCAGCCTCCTAGAAGATGATCAGGGGACAGGTTCTGGCTTCCTCACATAATCAGCCATATCTCACCACTAAATTCCTATAAATGTCAGTATTTACTAATCATTTCTACCCTTGCTGACACTTATGACATGATCAATACTGTGCTAAGTGATTTTCAACTATCTCATCTAATCCTCACAATTCTGAGGTAAGTATTAGTATTCTTATTTTACAAATAAGGAAATGGAGATACATAGAGATAAGGAAAATGCAAAGTTATGCAGCTAGTAAGTAGGTGGTTTAGAAACACTTTTCTCTGACTTGAAAGCTTGCGTGTTTAGCTACTATACATACTACCTCTCTACCTCAAAAAGAGATAGACAATAAATCTTATTTCTCTTCTATCAGCTTTACTCTTTTGTTTCTCTTTGGCTGTGTGACCATGGCCAAAGAGAAACATGGTTATTAGATCAATAACCTTCATTGATCTAAATTTCTTTATGTATAAAATGAGAGTATTGGACCAAATTGGCCTTTCTTAAACTGAAGGAACACTATTCTAATGGATAATTATATGATGCCATGGAAAAAGACTTTGTGTTCAAACAAGTTTGGAAAATACTAGGCTAAGCAATGTTATACAGGTTTCCTTACCAGAGGACTTCTCAGATCATTTGATAGTGGAGGAGGTTTATAGAAGGAGAACAGGGAACACTGAGGAAATCAATCTGACCCAAGTGGAGGAAGCCATTGGAAAGAAACTTATCTACCTTTTAGAGGCTCAGAGGGTACAGGATTTTGAAAGACAAGCAGAGTAGTTTAGTACTCTATGTGTATTAGAAAGAGCTGTTTTCGACCAACAGTATGACAAAAGTGTCTCCAAGCATACTTGGGCTTCCCCTGGTTCCAGGTAGCTTGGAGAAGGGAGAAACTGGAGGCAAGAAGATTATCACAACACAACCGCAGCATATAGCAGAAGCAGACTGACAAAGGCCTTAACCATGGTGTGGGAGCAGGATTGGCAGAGGTGGTGGGAAGAAGAATGAAGATAACTTTACCTATGCTTGATCTCTTGGGTCTCAAACTTTTAGTATTAGTATCCACAAAATGCTCTACTTTGCAGTACCGTGTAGGAAAACCCTTAGATCAAGCCCAGTTTCAAACCAACTGACTCTAGAATCTAGTCCATTCCAGACTAGGTCCCCTAATGCAATTAATTATTAATATAAATTATTTTCATCTGCCATCTCTTAATAGGAGCCAGGAAATATATTTACATATTTAATTAATTATTATTTTAAAACCTTTTTATTATATATTAGTTTTTTTATTGCAAGAATAAAATATAAAGCATTATCAATTCATATTTTAAAGTTATACAAAGTACCCTACAGATGGATAATAACATTACAAATACATAAGTTTATTAACACAGTGGTTTTTAATATATTTATAAAGATCCTTCAAAATATAATTTAATGTATTTTATGCTTTATATGAATTATTTTATGTAGACGTTAAGTTCTTTAGTGAACAACTGGAAAAATATCACAGACAGCACAAGGACGCCGTAGCTCTAAAACCCACCAGAAATGTAGGCTTGCTGCTCATTGACACCAAGCAGCTAAAAGAAAAACTAATTCCATCCCCTCTGCGATGCTTGGAGGTAACTATGAACTAAGAAAAAAATTTAATGATGGTCTCTACAATTATTTTATGATTTTTCTACTGCAAATAAACTGTATTTTCAAATATTGCAAATATTCAAAATTAACAGAAGTCTACTAGGCATCCTTAATTTCTAGGAAAAGTCCCATATTCTCCTTTCTATCCCAAGCACAGTCAGCTTTCAGATGAGGGGAGGGAGGGGACTTCAGGCCTCAGACTAGCCTCTTACTCCTCTCTACTCCTTTTTCCTTGTTGGAGCATTTCAAGGCTTCCTGTAGAAGAGGTAGCACTGTGACAGCTCAGTGTCCTCATGGGGATGCTGGCTCATTCTAGGATTCTAAGATCAAGTGTAGGAGATCATTTTCTGATCTGAAACTGTCCCTAAAGATCTGATTATATCTTGGTGAGTTATAGAGCGAAGGAGATTTGTATTCATTCTGCAATAACTTTCAGGTCTTCTGTGGGGCCAGGATATACCTACCGTATTTGCCGGCGTATAAGACGACTGGGCGTATAAGACGACCCCCTAACATTTCCACTCAAAATACAGAGTTTGTTATATACTCGCNCACAGGGGCTGCAGCCTACGCCGTCGCCAGCGACTCACGGCAGCCCAGCTCCAGGTTGAGCTGTTGTTCAGCATCTTAGCTGTGGAGGGCAGTGTTCACTGGCCCTCATATGCGGGATCCGAACCAGGGCCCTCTGGCATCCCAAGCGAGTTCTTAACCATCGCGCCACTCGGCTGGCCCGAAAAGTATTTTTTAATAAAATTCAAGTGAAGAAAGTATGAATCAAGAACTTTATCTAGCCAAGCAAGTCCTCAAGTATCAAGGCTATAGAGAAATACAAGGCATTTGAAAATGCAAGGACCTAGGGAATTGGGTACTCTTCAAGAGCTTTTGCGGAATAAAGATGAGTTTCATCCAATCAAAAGATAACTTTGGCAAAAAAGCTGATCGTCCTGTTTCTATCCACATGTAAGGAGCTTGGAAGCCTCCTGTCCATCCTAAAAACAAGTAAAAATCAGAACAGACCAAAAAATCAACAACTCTTTTTGAATCTACAAGAGAGGTGAGGACAAAGGGCAACCCACAGCCCCCAAGAATGAAAGGATAAACAGGGAGTCATGGCTCCTGGCAAATCTCATGAGCAGAACTGCCATGGGAATGAGTGCTGGGCAGGAAAATCTAAACTGTAATTGATGAATCACTGGAGGCTCAGTATGAACAATTCTGAGAGTTAAAAACTCCAGGGGATCCAGTCACGGTGGGGAGGGGTATAATATTGTGAGATTCATCTCCAGGAGTTCAACCACATTTCCATAGTAAATATTGGAGAAAACTCCCTTCATGCTTCCAGTAGGCGGAGGGTAAAAGGAACCATTTCAAATATGCCAGAGCAGTCTGTTCTTAACAAGGCCTGCCCTCAGGGGGAACTAGCCATCAGGGGAAACTCTTAACCAGAGCCTAAATATCTGAGCCTAACTGACCTGGGGAAAGAAAAATACACAATTCCAGCCTACTCTTCTAGCCATTCTGTCCCACTGAAGGAGAAAGGAAAAAAAGAAATATTTATGAGGTTCACAGTTCAGGGGCATAGGTTCACTACAAGACAGACTTAATCATAGGACTAAAGAATGTTCCCCCTCCCCCACAGCTCACCATCCCCTTTCTAGGACCTATTTACAACAGTTCTTTTTACCCAGTTCACCATGTCCAGCTATCACCACAAAATTGCAAGGCATACCAAATAGGAAAAAATTAAAAAACCCCACCATAATTTGAAGACAGAGCAAGCATTACCACCAGACATTGGCAGAGATATTGGAACTATCAGGTCCAGAATTTAAAACCACTGTGATTAACAGGCTAAGGGCTCTGGTGGATAACATAAACAGTATGCAAGAACAGATGGGCAATGTAAGCAGAGAGATAAAAATCCTACAAAAGAACTGAAAAGAAATGCTGGAGATTTTAAAAAAAAAAAGGTAACAGAAATGAAAAATGCCTTTGATGGGCTAATTAGTAGGTTGAATATAGCTGAGGAAAGAATATCTGAGCTAAAGGATGAACAGACTCCTTGAAAACCAAAAAGCAAAGAAAACAAAGGCTGAAAATAAATAGAAATAATGCAACTTTAAAAACAAAGAGAAGGTACCGATACATCCCCGCGGGCTACGGAAGTAAAAGAAAAAATGAACATATGGGACTACATCAAACTTAAAAGTTTTTTCACAACAAAAGAAACCATCAATAAA